AATGATGTTCAAGTTTTTCCATTAGGTGGGTTTGTTGAACGCAGATGACATCCGGCCACATCCTCCCTCCTACACCCTTCAACTGGTCCCAGATTGCCTGCCTTTTCGAGGGGTTGAAGGAGGCCAATCCATTCACATTAAGGGTCCTCAGATCGAGGTCTGCATTTCGGAAGTTAATCTTCCACTGTGGGTTCCTGCAGTACATTGTGTCAAGATCATCCATTGTTTTTTACTTTTCCAATCCCACCCCGATTCTAGACCCTTATCTATGTCCGGGAGGACCAGTCTGTTGTGCACAACAACCCATTCCGGAGGACCCTAGATAAACAGGTGTGAAGGTCCTCCTCCGACCAGAATGAATTGGCTTTTATCTGTTGGAGGGAAAACTCCATCAGGGCTCCATGATTGAACCATTCAAATTGAAGTCTTTGTCTTCCTCAAACAGGACATACAGATCAGTAGTAGCCACCCTCATCAATCCTTCAAATTGAGGAAGGGTTGCAAGTATTCCAGCTGGATAATGGTGGCACATGAAAGGTTCCGCCTTCTTTCTGAAGTCACTGTCCCTCGGACCGGGGAAGGACCAAATGTTGTAGAAGCCCCATCCTAGCAGCGTAACCCCTCCTTGTACTGGGGAGAGTCCGATCTCCGTCCTGTCGTCCACGTGCCTTAGTGGGATGACAACCACCTCCTCTTTCTGCATAAGGGTTTTTTCGTATTGACCCACTTCCACCATTTGTTCGAGTTTTTTTATGGTGTGGTTGGTCGGGGCTGTGATCGGTTTGTACCATTGCATGATTCTCCCCTGGTCCATCCAAAGATGGTGGTTGTTGCGCTGGGGGTTGGAACTGCCGGTCTGTGAGGTGGCGGATCCGTTGAAAGATTTCTGGCCAAGTAAGGTGCGTGGGGGGGGGGGGCGCCTTCTAAGGCCTTTCAGAGGGTCGAACTTTTGTCTAACATGGCAAATAATTGGGCGTATTTACAGTCCCAGCAATCTTGTAGAACTTCGGGATGTTGGGATTGAAAGCCATCTACTGTGTAACCGTTTGAACGCCGAGAACGGGCGTTCACGTTCAAATGTGCGTTTGAACGCGGATTTAAATTCGCGTTCAAAATTGAACGGCGTTCAATTATTTTTTTAGTTTTTTATTTAAAAACAAAAATCATTTCGATGCCTAAAACTAACTTTTTTTTTCTGATTTTGTTTTTAAGAGTTCTGTATGATGTGAGTTACATGCCTCTCAATTTTGGAGTCATTTTGGTAAGGCACAAAAAAACGAAAAATCGCCAAAGATGGCGGTGTCAAATCGTGTTCGCTCACTAATTTCAATTCTTTTTTTATTTTTTTTTTATTTTTTGTTTTTTTATTTTTATTTTTCCAATTTGGTAATGAATTTAGATGCAATGCTCAGACAAATGTTGTTTATTTTATTTCTCTTCATAACATATTTGTTTTTCAGAAGTTTTTGAGGTTTTTTCTTTTTTTTTTTCCCGCGCGGAATTGAACTCCGCGTTCAGTCCCGTTCATTGAACGCGCGTGCATTCCGTTCAGTTTCTGAATGGAAAACCCGCGTTCAATGAATGCGCGGTTTCACAGGCCATCTACTAGCCAATCAGCGATAATCTTAAGTTTCTGTTTGGTATCCGTATCAGCTGGAGGTGCTCCCGTGTCCTCTTGATGATCAATGTCCATCGTAGCCACGTCCGGAGGGGGGGGAAGGGGGGCAGAGGGTTCATCAATCTCCATAGGCTGCGGGCCAAAAAAAACCTCGAGGTGGTCCACGACCCCCTCAAGGGAGTTCACCATGTTAAGATTCGTCAGAGACTCATGTCGTTCTACCTCTGCGATGGGTATCTGATGTTCTTTGTTTCCCCTTGATTTTTTCCCCTTCCCTACCAGCCTCCCAGTCTTGGCTTTGGCCGCTGACAGCTCCGCATTCTGCTGGTTCAGCAGACCATGTTCTAGAATGCTCCTCACTTGTGCACTGCTTTCCAAGGCCCCTCTTAGCTGTGGGTATGCCTGAGCCCAAAAATATATTGGGACCTCCATATGCAAGGTCTGCAGGCCTGACATGATCCACTCTGAAATTTGCAGTACCGAGGTTTTGGGGCTCTATACAAGATCAAGGCCCGTCAGATTGTCCCTCCCTTCCACACCTAGCTCTAGTGCGCCCTCATAGGGATCTCTCGTACCTGTGGTGGACCGTTGGTGGATGGAGATTTGCATATTATATTTGTTTCCTTTTCGCTCGGCTTGCATGGCCTGCTGGCTCTCCTGGTCCCTATCCCACAATATCGCTCTCTCTCCTTCGTCTGATCCCCCTGATTCTATGTCCAGTAGGGCGAATTTGTTACCTCCTGCCTCCTGCTCTTTTCCACCTTCTTTGGTCGGGGACAGTGGGCCCCTTGATCGCTCTTTTTGTTGGGTTTTTGGTTGCATCTGACGCCCTTGCTCCGTTAAGTAATCTTCCAGGGTCGGGCCTACATTCCTCCTTTCCGATTTGCCTTGTACTGTCCTCCAACCAGTCGTGGGTTTAGCAAGGCTCGACTGTAAGTGGGATTCTACCGTCTTCGGGGGCGTCCAAGAAGGTGGGGGCTTGAAGTCCAAGTTGGTTGTCCCCTGTTCTATCCCACACCCATTCTGTGGTTTCACCTTCCTCCTCAACCTTGTCCACGTAGACCCACCCTTCGTGCCTCGAATCTACAGTCCGCCAATGTGTGCTCCTGAAGGGGTCCTGAATTAAACGCCCTGTGACCCTGACCTGGTTAACAGGTGGGGGGGGCATGCAAATTCGGTGTATAGGTGTCCATAGGCGTGACACTTGAAACACCAAGGTCTCAGTTTGTCAGTCGTGTGAATCTTGTAGTCTTTATCCCCGACTATGGAGGGAATTATATCATCCACTGAGGACAGTCGACGATCAGGGAGGTATATTGCCATCATTAGGTAGTCGTTTCTTCTAGCGACGTGAGGAGGGAGTGGGTCAACAAAATCAATTATGTCAAATTTCTCTCCAAAATCCTGCACAAATGCCGCCTGGATCTCGATGGGGATGCAGTGTGCCGAAACTCTACCCAGAAATGCTCTGCCATCATCCTCTCCCTCTTCTCTTCTGGGCGTTGCTGCTTCGGGGGGCCCCATGGGTAAATTCTAACCTCGCACCTCTCACATTGGATCGCCCTCCAACTATCCATCGCTTGTTTATCTGATTCGTTCCTGCAAATGACTGTGACTATAGATAGTGAAATTGGCTGGAGAAGGAACATGTCTTGCGCTTCTTCCATGTTTCCCCTAAGGGAGACCAGCCTCTTCCGTATCCACCCCACTTTGTCATTTGTAGATTTGAACGCATCATCGTGGACCACCCAGTTACTGGCGTGTTTTGTATACAAGTGATTTTTGTCTTTGACCTTACTAGACGGTAAGGATTTAACCAGTGAGGATTTGTCCCTCTGGTTTATCACACTAGGTTCAGACAGGGTCAAGAGTTTGGTCAGAAAGAAAGCACTGGCTGACGATAAGCTGTCCAGAGGGATTTTCCATTCATGCCCTTCCCCATCTTCAAATTGCCTTTGCACCACTATCGTTTGTCCTGCATGTGGTCAGTGTATACGAGCAGCCCAGGAGGGGGAGGGGGGGGTGTAGGTCCTGGGAAGGGGGGTAGAAGGCTGGATGTTATCGACACCCCTGGCTTGTCGGGCAGCGGGAGTGACCTGCCCCACCACTCATATCCCCTGCCGTCCCTTGTACTGCATCAGTAGGGTGTTTGACGGCATGCTATCGCATAGCCCCTTGGTATAACAAGGTGGACTCCAATTTTTTTTGTGCCCTTTGATACTTGTGCCCCGATCTTATGGCTTCTTTGGTTGTTGCCATGGTGATCGTAATAGGCGCTCCCCCACCCTCGATCTTCCACAACCATTTGTGTACACAGGGTTAGGGTGGAAAATTGAGCGAATGCCTATTTCTGACTACGATCGGGTCTTAATCCTTCTGGCTGCACTTCGGTACCCCTTGTCCTCCATGCACTGATGTTCTAGGCTAGTTGTTTGTAACCACTTCTTCTCTCTCCTCCTCTCTCCCCCCTTAGGGTTCCCCCACACCACAAAGGCGTTCTCTCTAAAATTTCCCCAATCCTTGTCCCCTTCCAATCATGTTTCCCCACTTCCCTCTTTATAATCTGCTCCTTGCTTTGATGTTATAGGCCGGTTGTTTTTAACCGCTTCTTCCCTCTCCTCCTCTCTCCCTCCTTGGGGTTTCCCTACCCACAAAGGCGATTTTAAAATTTTCTTTCCAATCACATTTCCCCACTTCCTTCACACAACTTACCCCCTTCCCAAACCCGTTTCTTCACCTCCCTCTTTATGATCTGTTGACTTACAAATACTAATTTCCACCCTACCCCAGACACCCCTCCACAAACCACTCCAAATCTTGAATCCTTACCACCTTCCTTTCGATCTTCTGAAAACTTCGCAATTTGATTGACAAACTCCTTCGCCTCCCCTTTTTTTTTAAAAAAAGAAAAAAAAAGGGGGGGGAATATGCCCTAGTCCTTGTATGATGCGTGACTTAATGAGCAACCTATGGGAGGGACCGGTAAGGTCCTACCTTATCTCATCTTTTGTCTACATCTATTTGTCAACGGCCATGATGAATTACGGAGGCCGTCAGGTTGGTCGTACCTTATCTCATCTTTTGTCTACATCTATTTGTCAGCGGCCATGATGAATCATGGAGGTCGCCGGGTTTGCCATCACTGTCAACATCGTGGGCATTTCGTTAGGGACTACCAGCAAAGGCAAATCCCGAATGTTGCCGCCTTGTTAGGCGTGAATGAAGATGCGAATTGGGCTCCTGCACAAGATAACGATTGTCAATGGTTGTTACCAGCCCCGACTGCTATTGTGCCATATAGACCGCAAGTGGTAAACGTAGGCCAGCAAGAGGGGAATCGCTACAATTGGAACTACAATGGAGGCTATGGTCGCGGATACAGTAACAACTATGGTCGAAATGGCTACCAACAGTGACCAAGGAATAACTGGTGGGAGGAGAACTTAGAGAGAGAGCAGGGCGATCGTGTGGAAAAAATGTGGGGTTAGTATTTCGAAGAAATGCAGACCAAGGAAAAGGAAAAACAAGAGGAGCGCAAGTTGAAGGAGGAAGAGGAGAGGAAAAGAGCACAAGAAGCAGCGGAAGGGAAAGAGGAAACCAAGAAAGAAAGGGAGGAATTCGAGAATTCGTTGGGAAAAATTGATAAAGATAACATAGAGGTATGCGAGCAGATGTTGGGCAAGAAGGCGAATTCCAACCATGGGGCAAATATGGAATCGCGAGACGATACCAGGGGGAACAAGCAAGAGAAAATGTGGAGACGTGGGGATGCTGCGGCCAAAGGGCAAATTGATCGTCAGAAGAACAAAGACATCGAACGTCTGCAACGAAAGAATAACAATCTAGTACGCATGGCGACGGGCAGGGAAAACAAGGAATTGGACGGGATTAAGGAGGACAATCAAGCCCTGATTCATGACATGCTCAGTCTGGGGGACGAGGTGGAGAACTTAAATCGCGACAATAAGCGTGGCGTGGAGACAGTCATGGAGAAAAGTCCTCCGGAGGAACTTGTGAGGGGGAAAGTCAAGCAGGTGGACGATGCCCGTACCGGCGTACCCCAGCTGAATGGGCAAAGTTGACCGAAGCGTAGAAGCGAGTGAGGGACGAGAAAGATATGGCGGAGAAGGAAGTATCGACTCTCAAAGAAACGAATCAATCGTATAAAGATAACCTCGCCATTGAGCTCAAGGAGGAACTTCAAGCTGTTTGTAAGAAGAAAAAGTGGAAAAGGGGGTAGTCCCAGATAATAGTAACAAGGTGACGATGTCAAGGTGACCTTCGTACGCAAAGTGCGGGAGGAAGATGAATTTATGAAGTGAGTGAGCAATGCCCCGGGCAAGCCGAGGAAAGCGCAACTGGAGGTCCTTTGCGCAGACGAAGGGATCGACTACGGAGGTGTGAAGAAAATTGCGAGAGACTTGGCATAAATTTATATCGTTAGAGCGTACGAGCTTCGCACCAACAAAAGGGAGATCAGAGACTCTGAGGAGGATGAAGAGGAACAAGAAAAAGATAAGCATGAGAAGGGTGACTCGGACGACGTTGTTGAGGGTTATGTTGCGCACCTGAATCGTCGTAGAATCGGTCCCGAGCAATGATGTTATTTATTCTTCCCTTGCTGTTCTTCGGAGTGAAAGGTGTGTTGAAAATGGGGTACTAAGTAATGTGAAATTGTCTAAGCTATTTCGTAGCTACGTCATCTTGCTAATGCTTTCGTCCGTTTTACCTTGGGTGATAAGTTTGTTTCTTCTATTTCTACGTTGGTCAGCTCTAGCTACAATTTCGATCTCTGTCCTGGTCCAGTAGTCTACGACTCTACGTACTGATCTCACCAGGTGTAAACATACGTATATAGGTTTTACGACACGGTCATTGGACATCCAATGACAGAAACATATATAGAGGACGGGGTATCAGGGTAGTGATGAGAATGTCAGGAATCGTAGGTTATACCAATGGTTGAGAAAATATGGCCTGGAAAGTTAACTTACATTGTTGTACCCATCTCTACCGCCTTACCTAAGGATTTGTTGAGTATTGAAAGCTACTTTATTCGCTCATGCTCTCATTTCCTTAATAGTCCCTCCATGGTAGGTCGAATTAGTAGGAGGAATAGACCATGCAAGAAAGAACGAGACAAGGTTAAACGTGGGAATGAGAACAAACATGTAGATAGGTTCATTCACAAAATACCTCTCTTCTGATTTTCTATGCTTCCTTCGACTTCTCTTCTATTTCTCTAACTAAAACTTGATCATGCATTTGATAACAATATATTGTCGTTTTCCATTTCAATCTTTGAAGGAGAGGAGTTGTGTGACAAATGAAAGATGTTAAAAAGGAAGTTCCAGTCTACCGTTATAAGGTCTAGTACTTTAGGGACCTGTCTGCTCAAAGACGCTTGTGCATGGTTGATGGCGGGTGATACTATGTGGATTGATTGTTTGACTCGTTTCTGCCCACGCTTTGAGGATAAGAAGAAAAACTCGGCTTTACTTATGATATTTTATTCATGCTTAAACTGTCATTTCGTCAAAATGGACATCTTTTATTTTTTTGAACGAAATAGAAACTAAGTTTTTTTAACTTTTTGGCCGAAAACTTATCAAAATTTGTTGTTCCTGAGGGTTTGGCGTTTGTAAAACGCTGGACCGCCTGGCTGTACATGGACCTAGCTTGAGACCAGGTACATCCAGACAGGACTGTCTGGATGTACCGGGTCTCAAGCTAGGTCCATGTACAGCCAACGGGTCCAATGTTTTACAAACGCCAGACCCTCAGGAACAACAAATTTTGACGAGTTTTCGGCCAAAAAACTCGATTTCAATTTCGTTCAAAAAATAAAAAATGTCCATTTTGACGAAATGGTCGTTCTTATGTGACATTTTTTTTTTTGATACTTTATTCATGCTTATGTGATACCTTAGAATTTGTTTTGTAATGTACTCTACAATTTTGGGACTTTGAGTCATTAGTGGTTGCAACCTTATACTTGTTTTTATGAGACTCTGAATATTTTAAAAGTATTGGGGTATCAAAGACGAATTGAAGTCGAAGAATTGTAGACATGTACTTCATGGTTGATCGAAGCATTAAGGCATGCGTGTGCATAACCTTATAGTTTTCATCATGCATTTCATATTTTATGACGTTAAACCTTACCTTGTATTGGGATTTTTGTTGGTAATGAACACCGCATGTATACAATTTTTTGCATAGAAAGTAAGTTAGGCTACACAAGATTTCACCACAATTCTATAAAATTTAACTTACTAGGTGTAAATCAAATCCTATTTGTAATTATACCTAGATTCATTTAGCATTAGCAAGTTAGGCTATGCGGAGTGTTCACTTCGTAATGTGATATGAGAATGCAATGTTGGCATTATAGACATATGAACATAAATTTAATATGAGTTTGTTCGAATAATGAGAAGTCTCGTGTTTACTCATTTCCACGAAGAGAAGCCTACTTTTTAAGATACAAATCTTATCATAAATGTACCAATTTAGGAAATAATTTCCAATTTTAACGAATAACATGTTCCGTCATTTTCCCTGTCTCTGCCTCTCTCTGCCTACCGGCTCCGCCTTCTCCTTTCACCCCCGCCATCCATCCCCCCTCTCTGCCTTCCCCCTTCAATCGAGGAGTCCTTTCCAGTAACCAAACGAGCAGTGAAAGAGTGCAAGGCGAGAGTGGGAAAGGTGGAGAGGGTCGGGTGAGGAGGTGGGGTGAGGGGGTTCCTTTCCGCTGAGAAGAAAGACAGGGGTGACAGGGCATAAGGTGGCGTCGGTTGGGAAGGAGCGGGGGACGAGGGAAATGTAGGCGGGAAGGTGGTCATTTTCACATGTAACGAAGATACGACCGATAATATTATCGGTCTTATTTTCTCATTTTGTGAAAATGATGGGAAAGAAAGTCGTCCTCCTTCCTATCGGGATGTCCCCGGTGCTCTCTTCCCCCCCCAGCTTTGCCTTCCCCTTTCAACCCCGCCTCTCCCCTCATCAGGAAGGCCCACCTCCTATCCCCCTCCTCAACTTCCCTCCCCACGTCAGTAAAAAAATCCTTTCAAGTAGCCATTCAATAATCAGTGGAAGGGTGCATGGCGAGAGGGGGAAAGGCTGCGAGAGCGGGGCGAGAGGATGTTCCTTCCCGCTGAGGGAAAAGGCCCGACGGGGGTGAATGGGGAAGGCGGCATCAATGGGAGAAGAGCGGTGGGACATGGAAAACGTAGGCGGGAACGCGTTCATGTTTGCACAGAGTGACATAGTGAAAATATGACCGATAATATTATCGTTCTTATTCTCATTTTGCAAAAATGATGGGAAAGAAAGTCGTCCTTCCTCCTATCGGCCCGTCCCCGGTGCTCTCCGCCCCCCCCCGGCTTTGCTTTCACCCTTCACCCCTGCCTTTCCCCTCATCATGAAGGCCCACCTCCGATCCCCCTCCTCTCTTCCTTCTCCATATCAGTAAAAAGTCCTTTCAAGTAGCCGTTCAACGAACGGTGGAAGGGTGCATGGCGAGAGGGGGAAAGGCGGACAGGGCAGGGCAAGAGGATGTTCCTTCCCGCTGAGGGAAAAGGCAAGGGTGAAGGGGGAAGGCAGCATCGGTGAGAGAAGAGAAGGGGGAAAGGGAAAAAATAATGTAGGCGGGAACGCGTTCATTTTCGCATATAGTGAAAATATGATCGATCATATTATCGGTCTTATGTTCACATTTTGGAAAAACGTCAGGAAAGAAAGTCGTCCACGCTCCTATCGCCCTGTTCTCGCCATTCTCCCCACACCGGCTCCGCCTTCCCCCTTCAACCCCGCCTTTCCCCTCACCGTGAAGGCCTGCCCTCGATCCCCCCCCTTCCGCCTCCGCCCCTCAATCAAGAAGTCGTTTCAGGTAGCCAATCTACAAGTGGGGAAAGGTGCAAGGTGAGAGGGGGGAGAGGAGGGGACGGGACGAGGAGGCGGGCGAGGTGGGTTCCTTCCGACTAAGGGGAAGGGCGGGGGGGAAGGGGGAAGGCGGCGTTCGTGGGAAAAAAGCGGGGGGACGAGGGAAATGTAGGCGGAAAGGTGGCTATTTTTATAACAAAAACACGACCGATAATATTATCGTTCATATTTTGATTATTTTTGCGTTTTGCCAAAATGACGGGAAAAAAAATGTCCTCCCTCTTACCGCCCCGTCCTCGGTGCTCTCCCCCCCCAGCGGCTCCGCTTTCCCCCTTACCCCCGTCTTGCCCCTCACCGGGAAGGCCCACCTTTGATTCCCCTCCTCTCCACCTTCCCCACGTCAATCAAGAACTCTTTTCATGTATCCAACAAATGAGCAGTGGAAGGGTGCAAGGAGAGGGGGGGAAGGCTGAGAGGGCGGGGCAAGGAGGCGTGGTGACGAGGCGGTGCAAGGGTCTTCCTCCCCATGGAGGAAAAAGGCGGGCGTGAAGGGGGAAGGCAGCGGCGGTGGGGGAAGAGCAGGGGGACGGGGGGAATGTAGGCGGGAATGCAGTTATCGGTCCTATTTTCGCACTATGGGAAAATGACAGAAAAGAAAGCCGTCCACCCTGGCATCGCCCCGTCCCCGCCGCTCTTCCCCCACCGGCTCTGCCTTCCCCCTTCACCACCGCCTTTCCCCTCACCATGAAGGTCCGCCTTCGATCCACCCTCTTCCGCCATTCCCCCCTCAATCAAGAAGTCCTTTCAATTAGCCAATCTACGAGCGGGGAAGGGTGCAAGGCAAGAGGGGGGAAAGGCGGAGAAGGCAGGGTGAGGCGGGCAAGGGGGGCTCCTTGCTGAGGGGAAAGGCAGGGGTGAAGGGGGAAGGCGACGTCCACGGGGGAAGAGTGGGGGGACGGGGGAAATATAGGCGGAAAGGCAGCTATTTTCGCATATAGTGAAAATACGGCCGATAATATTATCGGTCTTATTGCCTGAGTGGCCCTGGACCACTTGACCGGCCGGGCCCAAATATATATATTATATATATAAATTCTATTTTTCTTTTTTCTCAACTTCATAAAGAATTTTGATGTGATCCTGAGGCAAAAGTTGTTCAGTTTATTTTTCTGCATAACTAGGCAACCAGCCCGGCCGCCCGGGTGACCTTGCTTTCCTGGGCCCGGCCGTGCAAGGACCACAGAAGATCCCAGCAAAAGAAACAAAAAAAGAACCCGAAAAAAAAC